AGCTGGCGGCCTACCTGGAGGCTGCAAACCTAAACGCGACCCGGGGGCCTGGCGTGCTTTTGGAAAGTGCAGCCGGGTCGGTAGCTGGATAGCTCTTTGCCGTTGCAGGGAGTCGAGGGTGATACCGTGCTGTCGGTCGGTTTCGAAATTAGCGGAAGCAGCGCTGCCACAGAGTTAGAAATGCCGTTGTAAAGTGGGGAAAGTTTCGTGCCCTTGTCAACCCAAGTCCCACGGCCACTGGCGGTGACTAGTCCTGAGGTGTACATCTGGTGTGATGTATGCCAAACTACAAACTTTTTTTGTTGCTTTTGTGGATGTCTTTTCTAAAAGTTAAGCACACGGTGCGTGTGTTTAGGACTGTAACTCAGTGTAGCTGAATGCTCAGGTTGCAGTCACTTAGTGTTGCTCTATGTTGCAAACATAACTGGTATGTCAGTTGCGTATCAGTGAGACCATGAGGCACCTCGACTTTTTCCCCACCTTAAACCATTCCTCCTCTTCTCATGAAACTTGCTGTGAGGAAGATTGCTTTAGGTGACAGCTTAAGCATGAAGGCAGCTTTTAATCTAAGGGCCTCTGCCTGATGCATGGCGTGGGGCAGTGTCACTTTCATATAATAAATCCAGTTACAGGATAGGCTGCTGCTGTATGCTGTCTCCTGTCAGGCCAATAAGAAACTCAAGCTGCAGGTCTGTTTTTGACCGAGGCAGAAAATAAACTGGATAAAGGAACACTAGCTACTGTGTCCTGTAGAGAATTGCTGTGAAACTGTCCTGTCTTTTGTAATAACGTGGGATGTTGCTGCAAGCAGGGAACCTTTTTTGGATGTTTTGCTAGGGTTAGTGAAAACTTAAGATGTTTTTGTTACTTCTCACCTACTCTTAATGGCTTTAAGTACCTTTGCAATTTGCATATTTGTTTGACTTTTTTCCCTTGAATACACACCTATTAAAGGGTTTCATGAGGAAGCCTGTCTTCTTTTGAGTCAATGCAGCCTAGAGGAGGTTGTCACTGAGTGGGGCAGTGATGTTGGGCAGTGATTACATGTAGCATACATTGACTTGTAGTTTAGTTCAATCGGTTTTTTGACCTGTCAGTTCTTACGTGTAATGCTGTACAGGAAATTAAGTATTTTGACAGCTCTCTTGGTGGTGGAGGGAAAACAGCGCACCCTTGGTAGCTGCTGGATGCAGGTACATCAGTGATTCCTTTGCATTAGGAATTAGGGACAGTGTCTTCAGGAAAAAAAGAGTGCACAGGTCCTTGTACCTTCAGATCTTCTCGGTGAGAACTGTAGGCTTGAGAAATCTACATGTTGGCAACTGTTAGGCAACTTCCTGACTAACCTGTTGGAGGAAGGCCAAAGCCACCAGTCATGGCGATGTCTGTGCTCTGTTTAGCTAAATCTGAAGTTTGAAAGCTTTCCCAGTACACTTCTGGTATCTTGTTTTGGAAAACTGTATGTGCTGATGTGACTTACGCCAGCCAAACTATGGTTTGGGAAATGTACATAAGCTTTTGACAGCACTGTGACATTGCACCTTAATTGTTTGTTCTGCTCACCTTTGTGTCGTAGCCTTGATCTGACCTCAGTTTTGCAGTGGAGCAGTAGTTTGTCAGCCTCTGTAGTGGCAAGTTGAAGCAGCCATGTTTTGCTGCTCTGTAGCTGGACTCAGAAGTGCAATTGTTACATGGTGGGAGGAAAATCCTTCAGACAGCTTTCAGTTTCAGACTCATGTTCTTGGTGTGTTGTGACCTTAGTTTTGTATGTTAATGTTGATTGTTCGTTAATAGCTATAAAACAGGTTTTTTATGTTGATGGTTTGTTGATAGCTGTAAAACAGGTGTTTTGTATGTCGCATAGCAAGTGTATGTTCATAGGAACTGCTAGAATATCACTGTCTCCCATGTGTCAGAAACACAATGCTGCATTGTCTGTATGTGTTCTTTTTTGCTGCTTAAAAAAACCACCACAAAGCAAGCAAAAAAGAACCTTAATGATGGATGAACACAAGGATGCAAAGCATGCTTTGAATTACCATCCATACTGCTATGATGCTGCTGATTTACCAGCATGGACCATTCTGTCCATATTGGTCCTGAAGACAATAAGATGTCACACTAGAAAGGGCTTCTGGTGCTTTGTTGAAGAGAGATCTGAAACTAATGGGAAAAGTGGATGAAGGGAAGGGGAATCTGTTCACATGTTTGTAGATTTCAAGAATTTTTATAGAAACATCTGAAGCTCTTGAACCCCCACATCTGTGTGGAGGCTGGGTATGTTTGTCAGAAGCTGAATGCTCTTGTTAATTCTGTAAGAGCACAGCTAATTCAGCAGTTCACATGAGCAGCTTTTGATTTGAAAGAGTTTGACTTGTGAAAGTACAACATGATTGTACAAGATTGGCAGAAATACTTCCATGTGTGTGGAAAGTAGAGGAGTTGAAAACATGCTACAGTGCTTTTCAAGGTTTTCTGATAACTGTGTATGTGATTGTAGAATAAGTTGGTTCAGTGAAAATGGATAAAGCTTTGTAGAAGGCATTTTTATAGATCATAATCGATCATACTTTTCGTTTTGAGCCCACTGTAAAATCTCCTTTACCAATATTAGAAGAGATCATCTCAAATTGAATCCTCTTTTGAATGGGTGCATCAGCCCTATGCCTAATAACTAGGAATGCTTTGTTTGTGTGCATATTGGCTTGATTTTTAGTTGGTGCAAACCATGAAGTGTTTCCTCTCAAGACACAGCGGTTCTTGATTTTTTTTTTTTTTTTTTTTTTTTTTTGGTGGCATACTAATGTGATGGAATGGCTGTGACTTGATTCCAAGCTTCCGGTGTGCTTTGAAAACACAAGTCATGATCAGAGTTGTCTGCTGTGCACGTTTGCCCAGCAGCACTGGTCCTGTAGGTAGAAGATGGGGAAGATCATTGGGAAGATGTTCTTGTGATTCTATTGGATTATGCTAGGTATTTATATCATGTTTTGGGGAGGAAAGATGAGTTTTGACAATCCAATACTTTACTTTTTTTACTGCTTTCTGGGGAAGGGGACTTGATTAAACTTTATTTGTTTTAGTTTACTAATATTGGCATATGTCCAATCCAAACTTGTACATAAATACTTCCATTTAGTTGCACTGCCTTATAAATCTATTCTGCCTGTGTTTGTTTCATAAAAGCAGTTGTGTGGAGGCTCCAGAGGTAACTAAATGGAATTAAGCCTGTGGTGGGTCAGTAGTGGTGGGGATGCAAGGAAGTAGTAAAATACCTTTTTGTCACTCTTTGTAGTTTCTTGGGATAGCAGAGTAAGCAACTGCAGCGGAAGATGGTGCAAACCTTTTGTGTACATGTAAGTTTTTGTCTAATCTGGCCGGGATCATTTAAGCACGTTCTCAAAAAGTGCAGGCCTGTGCGTGTAGGGTCACTAATAAAATTCTGCTATTCCTTACATTATGTAACTGAGCTCATAAAGCTTGACAGTACAGGATTTTGGGTAAGACACCACATTAACAGATTAACCATCTTGTCTTAACAGGAAAATGTTTATTGGCGGCCTTAGCTGGGACACTACAAAGAAAGATCTGAAGGACTATTTCTCTAAATTTGGTGAAGTTGTAGACTGCACTCTGAAGTTAGATCCCATCACTGGGCGATCGAGAGGTTTCGGCTTTGTACTCTTCAAAGAATCGGAGAGCGTAGATAAGGTAGTATTAATGTAATTAAACAACATGTTCAATTTTAGGCAGCAAAGATCCAGCACTCTGATAATTTTATGCATAGTTGTTTGTACGTGATCTGTTAAAGATGACTCTGGGATACAATATATTTAAGGTGTTTATTGAAATGTTTTTTTCTAAAACTGTCTTGCTTGTGATGCAGTGGCCAGGACCAGCATTGATTCCCAGAGTGTGGCTTTGGATACTTAGAGCGGAGTGTACTGCAAGCCACTGGATTTGAGCACTTTAAAAATACTGCATATAAATATCTGCTGCCTCCTGCTGTGGAAGCAGTAATTTACAAAGAACTTCAAATCTTTGTATTCCAGTGCTGCAGGGTGAACCCCTAGAGTAGAGCCAGTGGCTTTGATAGAGTTGGGCTTTATCCAAGCGAAAATTAGCTGTTAACTTTTCTAAAATGCTGTTGACACAGCACACTGAAAAATTTTTGCCTTCACTGACCTTTGGTAGTATCTAAAGTACAGATTCTTTACTTCATGAGGTTTGAGGATGGGATTGTAGAGTACTTTCTGAGAAACGTTACATTCTCTTACTTGCTGTGGCTCCAGGTGACGCCTGAAATGCTTTGTCAGAACTGTCTGTGTCAGTGGATAGTGATCAAAATATGGAACTGTTTGGTTTTGTGCAACAGATTATTGCTGTAACCACAGTATTGAAATGGAGATGATAACATTAACATAAACTAAGTATAAAATATCTGAGCCTTGCTCAAAACATCAGTGAAACATTTAGCTTGAACGATGAGTAAGACTGTGTTTTAATTTTCCATAGGTCATGGACCAGAAAGAACACAAGCTGAATGGAAAGGTCATTGATCCAAAAAGAGCTAAAGCCATGAAAACAAAAGAACCTGTTAAAAAGATTTTTGTTGGTGGCTTATCTCCAGACACACCTGAGGAGAAAATAAGGGAATATTTTGGAGGTTTTGGTGAGGTATGTGGTGAAATACTGCTTATGCTTGTAGAACTTGTTCTGTCTTCACAAATTTAGTAATAAAAAGCAGCCCCCAAATGCAACCTGCATGGATGCTACTGTAAACCTAATGGCCAGTGTAGCTCCATGGTCTTAGTAGTCAGAATTTTAATTAAAAGGGTATTAATTACAGGCTTTGAGTTGCTGTGTTAATGGAAGGAGTAGCTCGGATAAGTCAAGAGAGTCAGGAACTGATTCGTGGTATGTCTGACAATCTTGACTGGGACAAGCACATCAGGCAACGTTTTTGAGCATGCTGCTTTGGTCAGTTGCATGAGATGCTCTTCAGGCACACCAGCTGATCTGCAATGGCATAGATTCAGACAGTTTGCGTAAATTGTGTGCAACTGTGTAGTCTCTGTCTCTCTCTGTCCGCAGTTTTTGGTGGTGCAGATGAACAAAATATCACTGCAGTCCTTAAAAGCTGGCTTTGTATGAGCTTGGTACAGCTGCCGCTTCCCTGTTAGTTCTCAGATGTTGCCAGCATCAGGTCATGACAACTCTGGTGTCAGGGAATTTGGTTGTCAAACACCTGCCATCTTGCTGCCTTACAGACAGTTCACTCTGGACTATAGACTTTAATTACTGTTTGCCTAGGCTGAAGTCTCCTGTGGCATACGTAAGGAAAACTTTACTATGTGTTTGTAGTCAGGTGTAAAATTTGTCCTGTTTAACATACAATTTTAGCAGAACCATGCTAAACTATGCACTTGCACAAAGCTACTTCTTTTTCATACGAAACTTGAAGGTTTAGGTCTGCTCAAGGTTTGAAACATGTAGTTACTTCAGTCTCAACTGAGTTAAAACTGAAAGTCAAACCAAGACTATTTATGTGGCACAACTAAAATATTCTTTGTGCACCATATTTTTTATGAGTTCCTGAATGGGCAAATGATACTATTAGAGGAAAAAAAAAAATCATTTACACAATTACGAACACTATTTCTAGTGAAGGTGATGTTTGTGATGGCAATGGTTTCTAGTGATGTAAAGCCCTACGAAGGAGGCATATGATTATATTCAAGTTAAATAATTGCTGTTAACAAATATGACTTGTTAGAAACATTTTTAAGTGGCATGAATGGTCGGATAAAAGATAAAATCACTGTCTTCTACCAGGTTGAATCAATAGAGCTCCCTATGGACAACAAGACTAACAAGAGACGTGGATTTTGCTTCATTACTTTCAAGGAGGAGGAACCAGTGAAGAAAATAATGGAAAAAAAATACCACAATGTTGGGCTTAGTAAAGTAGGTGGAATTTTTCCTAGAAGAGCCGAACTGTGACAATAGAGGGAATTCTATTATCAATTGCATCTGGGGATAGTAGTCTGAAAATACCTGTAAGCATTATTTCTCACATGTAAGCATTAAGCCTATGTAGTATTTATATAGGTGCTAGGAATAGGTTACTGTAATCTTAACTTCTGAGATGGGGCAGTTTCCAGTGGGGTTTTGTACTGCATCCCCTGTGGGGAAGGAGCTGTTGCACAGCCTATTTGTTCATTGTGAAGCTCCCACATTCTTTAGCTTTGTGGTCAGAGTGCTGTGTCACTGATCTGCTGTATCAGGCTGCATCACGTTTTCCTGGTAGCTGAATCTTTGTATGTTTAGTATGGAAATACTTCGTTGTTTTAAGCAAAATGTCTTTTTTATCTTGGAGTGCTTCCAAAACTGAAATGAAATGGGCAGTTAGGTGCCTTTCAGAAACCTGGTTGAAATTCAAAGTAACATAAAATTCATAGTAACAAACCCTCAAATTGTAGCTAGCATGTTTTTTATTGGATGAATATGTAGTGGAAGCTTCAGAACAGAGTTGAATAAAAATGTTGACCATACTTTTGGAATTCAGATTTGATTTCACTTTTCTCAGCTAAATAGACCTCAGAGGTCTATTTCAAAGGGAAAACAGAAAGACGTACAAAGAAACAAGCATTCTTTTCAGAAGTGGTTCTACTGGCAGAAAATTAGGAAACTTGGAATGTTTTTATAATGCTGGTTTCTTACAACTATTTTCAAGTTGGAGAGTGTAAGCTGTCCATTTTTTTTCAGGGGGTGATCAAATCCTATTTTCTGCTTAGTGTTCTGTAAGTTTAAGAATGGTTTGTGGGGGTTATCTTTGCTAATTGGATTTGACTTTGAACTTTTCGTTTCCAGTGTGAAATAAAAGTAGCCATGTCAAAGGAACAGTACCAGCAGCAGCAGCAGTGGGGGAGTCGAGGAGGATTTGTTGGAAGAGCTCGAGGAAGAGGTGGAGGTAAGCTTGCACTGCCATGGTGTTGGAAGGCGAGAGGCTTGCTTGAATAAGAACAAGTCTCCTGCAGCTCTTAGTTTTGGTACATTGTGTTGCAGGCCCCAGTCAAAACTGGAACCAGGGATACAGCAACTACTGGAATCAGGGTTATGGGAACTATGGCTACAACAGCCAAGGGTATGGAGGTTATGGAGGATATGACTACACTGGTTACAACAACTACTATGGATATGGTGACTATAGCAGTAAGTACTGAACTTCTAAAAAGTTCTGATCTGCTGCTTGTAGGAAGATTGCTGCTACA